GTCCGTGGTCCTGTTCTTTGAATGTTTTTATTGATGACTTATATGAAGATGTACACAGTATTAAATTTGCTATAGACATGAAGTGGGGAGGCATAACTGACATATTAGTCAGGATCCAAAGAAATCTCAACAAGTGTAAAATAGTAAGCCATATCTAATAGATAAGATTTTAAAAAATGAATGGTTCAATCAATAAATTGAAAAAATGTACTAAGCATTTACTATGTGCCAGGCACCATGCCAAGCACTAGAAATACAAAGAACGATGCCTGGGAACTGTCGAAGGAGCTCACGTTATAATGGAGAAGACAACATGTGCTCACATGGGTAAATAGAAGATGCATACATATTAGATGGAATATAGTCTTAGAAGGGAAAGCACTAATACTTAGGGATTCAAAAAAATAGCTGTACAAATACAAGATAGTGGAGGCAGGATCAATCAGTAACTCATCTCTTTAAGAAAAATCTGGCTTTTCACGGCACTTAAAACTTAATATGAATCAACAGTATTATATGGTGCCAGAAAAGTTAATGCAATCAGTCTTTGGCTGCATCATGTCTAGTACTAGGAAGGTGAAAGTATCATTATAATCTGCCCTGGTTATGCCACATATAGAATATTATGTTTAGTTCTGGGAGTCATATTTTAGAAAATATTTAGGAAATGTCATATAGGATTTAGTCGAAGGTACTAGGAATATTTAGCCTAATGAAAAGACTTTGTGTCTCCAAGCATTTAAAGGGCATTTGAAATGTGGCACTGATCTTGTTCTGCTTTATCCTAGTGGATAGAACTTGGAACAATGGGTAGTAGTTTTAGAGAAGAAGATGTTGGCTCTCTATAATGGGAGAAAAACTAACAATTGAGCTATTTCAGAATAGAATGGGCTACCGATGAGAGTTTGTTCTCACTGGAGACCTTCAGTCAGAGGCTCAATGACTACTTTTCAGGGATGTCATAGAGTTAGTAAGCATGAGTTGAGCTATTTCAACTCATTTTTGAGGTCTCTGACTCTGTTCTGACAATTCGTAAGCATTTATTATGGACCTACTGTGTGCCAGGCACTGTGCTAAGCACAGTGGGATACAAAGACAGGTAGTTCTTGCCCTACATTTGCTCACAATGCAACAGAGGAGACAATATGCAAACAATTAGAAAGACACTTGAAGTATGAGGGATTGGGAAAGACATCTTGTAGTAGGTGGGATTTTAGCTGGAACTTAAAATAAAAGAAGCCAGGAGGTAGAGATGAAGAAAAAGAACATTCTAGGCAGGGAGAACAGCTAGAAAAAAATGTTCACAGCCAAGATGTGAGATGTCTTGTTCAAAGACACAGAAAGGAAGTCCAGTGTCACTGGATTGAGGAAGAAAGGGAACGAGCATTTATTAAGCACCTGCTATGTGCCAAGCACTGTCCTAAATATTTTACAAATGCCATCTCTTTGATCCTCACAACAACCCTGGCGAGGATGGTATAACTATTTTCCTCATTTTACAGTTGAGGAAACTGAGGTAAACAGAGGTTGGTTTTTGTTTTGTTTTGCCCAGTGACTTGCCCCAGGTCACATAGCTACTAAGTGTCTGAGGTCAGTGTCTGAACTCAGGTCTTCCTAACTCCAGGCCCATTGATTTATTCTCTGTACCACCTAGCTGCCTCAGCTCTTTTCTGATATGTTTATGTTCAACTAGGAGGATTTTGAAGCAATAAAATATAGTATTATAAGCAATAGCTTATCACTTGATATGTGCACTGGCTATCTCTTATGTTTTCCTTCCTCACATCTACCTTTTAAACTCTCTGCCTTATTTCAAAACATGGCTCAAACTCCACTTGCTGCAGGAGAGTTTTCCTGGCCCCCTGCTTCTAGTGATTTCATCTTTAAGATTACTTTCCATCTATTCTGTATATGTCATACATGCATGTGTTGAAGTATGTATGTTTTATATATGTGTATGTATGTATATACACACATATTTATGTTCATGTTGTTCCCTCTATTCATATATAACAGTGTTGAGGCTGGGGATGTGTGTGTGTGTGTGTGTGTGTGTTTGTGTTTAATTTTTCTTTGTCTCCTCAGCACTCATCAGAGTGCTTGTCATATAGTAATCACTTAATAAATTCTTTTTGAGCTGTTGACTGACAATAAGGGAAGGACGATAATTAATCTGAGGGACTGTATTTCCAGTGCTAGCTTTTCAGGCACTATTGGCACATCATTAGGAAAAAGGAAGCCTTTTATTTGCCAGGAGGGGAGAATTAAATTTGTGATTTTATTGGTAAAAATAGAGGGAAATTCTGGTAAGTAAATGCCTTATGCAAAGAAATCATGACCTGCTTTACAACTTATAATCTTAGTTACCTGAAGCTTTAAAAAATGAAATCACTAGGGGCAGCTAGGTGTGCAATGGATAGAGCACCGGCCCTGGATTCAGGAGGACCTGAGTTCAAATGCGGCCTCAGACACATAACACTTACTAGCCGTGTGATCCTGGGCAAGTCACTTAACCTCATTGCCCAGCCAAAATAAAATAAAAATTAAATCACTGCCCAAAGTTACACAGTTAGTATATGTTAGAAATAGAACTTGAACTCAGTTCTTCCTGACTCACAGGGTCACCTCTCTCACCACAGTAATACACTATGGTTGCCTCTCTTAAATTATGCCACTATAGTATAAAGATCACCAGACTTGGAATCAAAAGTACTGGGTTCAAATCCTAACTCTAACACTAGCTTGTGATCATTGTCAAGCCACTTAAACTGTCATCCTATATTTCTTAATTTGTAAAATGGGAATAATAAAACTTTTACTACATATGTGACATGTGGAAAAAAGTGTTTTTCATAAACCTTAATTTACAAGATAGAGTAACAGAATTGCAGGTTTGGTCAGTCAATAAACATTTATTAAGCACTTGCTATCTATAAGAAACTGTTCTAAGGGCTGGGGAATACAATAAAGGTAAAAACACAGTCCCTGTCAGTCAATAAACATTTATTAAGAGAGCCTACTATGTACCAAGTATTATGTTAAGTACCAAGTATACAAAAAGAGTCAAAAGTTAGTACCTGCCCTCAAGGAGCTTATAATCTAATAGGGAAACAAATAAGCAAATATATACAAACTATATAGAAGATAAATAGGAAGTAAATAAAAGAGGGAAGGCAGTAGATTTAGAAGGGTTTGGAAAAGGCTTTCTGTAAAAGATGAGATTTTAGTTGAGACTTAAAGGCAGCCAAGGAAGCCAGTAGGTAGAGATGAGGAGAAACCAGCATAGGGGACAGTCAGAGAAAATGCTCAAAAGTGAGAGATGAAGAGGTTTTTATTTTTTGTGGGGGGGAACTGCAAGAAGGCAGAGTCATTGAATCAAAAAGTATATGGCAGGGAGTAAGATATAAGAAGACTGAAGAGGTAAAAATCTGGTACTGGCTAAGAAATAGAGTGGTGGATCAGTGGAATAAATTAGGTACAAATTATATTATAGTAAATGACCATAATAATTTAGTATATGATACACCCAAAGAATCCAAGCTTTTGGAGCAAAAACTCATTAGTTGACAGACTTTCACAACAGATTGGATGGGGGCAGGTGGTGAGAGATAGTGAGGAGTCAAGGATGACACCAAGGTTATAAGCCTGAAGGTCTGGGAAGATGATCCTGCCCTTTACAGTAATAGACAAGGTAGGAGGGGGAAGAGAGAAGGTTTAGGGAAAAAGATAACAAGTTTGCAAATAACCTTATAGGCAAACCCCACTGGAAATCTCTGACATTCTGTTATAAAGTTTCATGGATCCAATTAATGACATTAAGTGAGGATGGGCCTGTCAAAAAGTCAGATAATCCTGGAACCTGTTGAGTTCAAAATGTCTGCTGGATGTCAAGTTTGAGATATGTCTGAAAGGCAGTTTAGAGACGCAAGATTAGAGGTCAGCAGAGATTTGGGGGCAGTATAGATACGTTTGCGAATCATCAATATAGAGATGGTAATTAAATCCGTGAGAGTTTATTAGATCATCACATGATCAAGAGAGAGAAGAGAAGAGGCCCAGGCCAGAACCCTGTAGAACATAAAGTATTTGCCCTCAAAGGGCTCGTATTATACCGATTGTTTAAAAGTCACCTAACCTAGAACCCTCATTTTATTATGAGAAAGCCTGAAGTCCAGAGAGGTTGTGTCTTGTTGAAAGTTAGACATATAGGAAGGGCCAGAGTCAGAATCTCACACATTTACCTCTGCAGAGGACTTCTCCTTCACTATATCAGCATTGTCTGCTCCATGTTGCTGGTTTCTGGCATAGAATGAGGGTTTTTTGAAAGTGAGGACTTGGCCATTTTATATCCCATTATGGAGTGGCTAGTTGATACAATAAATAGAGTGTTGGACTTGGAGTCAGGAAGACTCATCTTCCTGAGCTCAAATCTGGCCTCAGACACTTACTAGCTGTGTGACCCTGGATAAGTCACTTAACCTTCTTTCCCTCAGTTCCTCATTGATAAAATGAGCTGGAGAAGGAAATGGCAAACCACTCCAGTGTCTTTACTAAGATAACCCCAAATGAGGTCACAAAGAGTTGGACATGACTGAATGACGACAACAACAAAATATCCCTTTCCACGGTACAACATATAGTGATGCACATGATGATACAGTTTTCAATGTAACATTTCCTCAGCTTTTGTTATATTTTCATTAGCAGTTTTTTCCCTCATTTTGAGATTCTCTTGCAAAAATTAAAAACGCAAAACTCTTCAGAATGACTGGGCATCCAAGCCCAGCTCTTTTCACCCATCTGTTCATATTTTCTCAGACGCAAAACACAGAATTGATAAAGATGTGCAGCGGGAGCAAGAACCTAATTATATGAGAACGAACATCTTATGTACAACACATACTTTTACCAACAGTGTGATTGCTACATTACCAGCTATCAGAAAGGAAGCACCATTCTGTTTTTACTGCAGCACTCAATTTTTGCTTTATTGTTGGCAGGTGCTGGCCTTGACGGAGTAGAAGAAATTAAGCGCCATCCCTTCTTTGTTACCATCGATTGGAACGTAAGTTGTATTATTGAACATTCCTGAGACTACACTAATATTAGATGAATATGACAGGCAAATGGAAACTAAAAGATTACTATATTCAGACTAACTGGGACCAGACACAGTGCCAGCACATGTGTATTACACATAAGGTTACCCCAACCAATTCCAACATGCAAATAACCTTATAGGCAAACCCCCACTGGAAATCTCTGACATTCTGTTATGAAGTTTTGTGGATCCAATTAATGACATTAAGTGAGGATGGGCCTGTCAAAAAGTCAGATAATCCTGGAACATGTTTCGGGACTTACTTTCTGCTTGGATGTGGCAGACATACAGGAAAATGGAGTAGAAATTATTTCAGAAGTACTGGGAATGGCCTTTTGTGCACCCTTTATTGGGTGCACCCTCTATTTTGTGCACTTGCTCAGGAAAGAGAAATTCCTTTAATGGAAGGGCATTCTACAGTTACAGTAGAGCTCCAAAATGAACATAACACTGGGAAAAGGGGACACATTGACACATACTCATTTGTGCTAAAGCATAGATGGCCAATATGTCTTTTCTTGAGAGAAGACTTTGATTGTATCTCGGGGATAAGACCACGGCAATTTTTGGTACCTAAAAGATGAGAATGAAGGACAGACATGAAAACCTATTGACAATTGTCTATTTCACAATTTTACCCAAGACCATCCCATGTGTTGTCCTCTGAGACATCCTCTAAGGTCCTTCCGGCTCTGAGATTTTATGAGTCTATACATGAAGGAAGATACTCTGTCCTGATGAAGGCAAGTAGAGAGATTTCCTTGTGTACAGATAAAGCTTGTACAGCCAAATGATTCCAAAACCTCAGAATTCTTTAGTGGGAACCAAATAAAAGAGACTGCATAGTAACCTTTTTTTTGGTAATATGAGTCATAACATTCTCAGATTTTACAGTGTGTTTTCATTTGGTATAATGAGGTTCATTTCAATAGTATTTGAATTCTCTTCTGTAAGTGACAGAAATGAGTATAGAAAGCTGTGTTTGACCAGAATGAAGTAGAACCGCTGTAAAAGTAAAAATCCTATCATTTCACATACTCTATGTAGCAAAGTAGCGGTAGCTCCCCACTTGTTGCCTCTTCAACTAGTGATGACCTCTGGCTGGAGGGATTAGGGGAAGTTTATCTCGATGAACTGAGCCTTGAAAGACAGGCAGGATGTGAATAGGCAGTGATGGATGAAAAGGGGAAAGGAAGCAGCAGGAGCAAACAGAGGATTTGTTGTTGTTCTTTAACCATGAAAAATAGTATGGTCTAGATTAGCATCCGATTCAGGACCTGAAAGAAGTCAATCTTCATCCTTAAAAGGTGGCAGCTTTGCTAGAGGAAGCAATTCTTATATACATGTCCTACCTCCATGCCATTTACATGGCCTCTTTCCTTTACCTGAAATGCACTTTTTCCTTACTTCTGGCTCTCAGAATTCCTAGCTTCCTGTAAGGCTCAACTCACGTGCCACTTTCTACATGAAACTTTTCTGATTCTCCCAATTTCCAGTCATTTCCTTCTAAAGTTACCTTGTTTCTATTGAGCGTATACCCATATGGCCACATACTGTGTCTCCAAGTTTGACTCCTTAGCTCCTCAAAAGCAAGGTCCAGTTTCACTTTTGTATTTGTATACCTGGTACTTAGAACTGTGCCTGGCACACAGAGACAGTTGACAAATGCTTGCTGATGGACTGATAGATCTAAGAAATCTAGGTTCTCATTTCAACTCCACTACTAGCCATGTGGTCTGGAGCGAATCATTTCATCTTTCTGAGGTTATCTTCCTCATCTGGAAAATGAAGGGGATGTACTAAATAATCTGTAAGTTACCTTCAAGCTCTAATATTGTAAGATTTTTCAACATTTCAGGAAAATGCTAGCCCTGAAATTAACATCTATGACTGCAGCCACCATCTTTTTTATTTACAATTTGTTTTTCACCTTACTTTTCCCTTTTCTGAGCTAAATAGTAGGACTTAAATTGAAAGAGTATGAGAGGTTCTTTGTAAAGCCTTAGTTTTAAGTGCAGTTTACAATCCATTTTCTCAAGAAGATGAATTTGAAAAAATATTTTTTTGGAGAGCAGTATGATAAGCCACATACATAATTTCTATGGAAGACAACAGTGACATGAAATTTTTAAATGGGAAGAGCATATTCATTCTGTGTCCTTCAGACTGTGTGTGTGTGTGTGTGTGTGTGTGTGTGTGTGTGTGTGTGTGTGTGTGTGTGTGTGAGAGAGAGAGAGAGAGAGAGAGAGAGAGAGAGAGAGAGAGAGAGAGAGAGAGAGAGAGAGAGAGAGAGAGAGAGAATGAGAGAACGAACACATTTCCTTAAAGTATAATACAGGGTATCCCTAGGGGCAGTTAGGTGGTGCAGTGGATAGAGCACTGGCCCTGGATTCAAGAGGACCTGAGGTCAAATCCGGCCCCAGACACATAACACTTACTAGCTGCGTGACCCTGGGCAAGTCATTTAATCCCATTGCCTAGACAAGGGGAAAAAAAGAAGAAGAAATACAGGGTGTCCCAAAAGTCTCAGTACAGTTTTAAGCTATTAAGGTTTAAAACTGCAGTAAGGCATTTGGGACAATCTGAATAAATGTGAGTTATTATTTTCCTGGATCAGTTATATCAATTTTGATGTTTGCCATAAAATTATGTTTGAAATATATCTCCTTAGTTAAGGAACCTATAAATACTTCTTAAAACTAAAACCTTACAAAAAACCCTAAACTCATGCTCTATCAATTTAAAATTTGTCTCAAACAAATATGGAAATGTTTTACATGATTCTACATGTATAACCTATATCCAATTGTTTACCATCTCAGGAATGGGAGAGAGGAGGAAAGGATAGAATTTGAAACTCAAAACTTAAAAAAAATGCTTAAAAATTGTTTTAATGTGTAATTGGTGGAAAATAAAATATTATTAAAAATATAATTTGACTCAGAAAAGGGAGAGGTAATAAGAGATGAGAAATACATCAGTCAGTTAGTCAAGAAATATTTAAGCACTCATATTATGCCAGGCACTGTGGTAATAACTGGGAATAAAGGAGTTTACACTCTAATGGAGGAGACAACATGAAAACAATAATGTGCCAACAAGATATAGAGAGAGGAGATGGGAGGAATCTCAGAGGAAAGGCACTAGCAAGCTGGAGGTGGGTGGGGGAAGGAGAAAGATGGACCAGGAAAGACTTCTTACAACACCGTAAAGGAAACAAATAGTGACTGCAAATATCTTATTTGACCCTCAAAACAACACAACCCTGTGCAGTTGGTAATACGAGGAGCATTATTCCCATTTAGCAGATAAGCAAACAAATAACTTCTCCAGTGTCACATACAGTAGATAGTGAGTAGCAAAGAAGCTAAAACTCAAACCCCATAATTAGTACAGGCTCAAAAGAAACCAGATGAAATTCCTGAAAGACATTGAATAAATATGTTCTACCTCTTTAAAATATCCTATCACTTGAATTTCCAGGCACTATGTGCTTTTGGGGAGCTCTCAAATATAATATTATTGCAGACTGGAGCTTCTGCTTTCTTTTCCCGTTGAAGTGGGGAGCAACAGAAGAAAGGAGAGAGGACAAAGATGGGGCCCAAGACAGAATGAGCAAGTGTGGGTGGAATTAAGGAAGGCAAACTTTGCAAAAACAATTAGACTATTTTTTCCAGCCTAAACTTTTGAAAGCTATAGGAAAAGCTGGGTTAGTATGCATTCCAGAACTTCCAAGTCAGTGTGTGCTTTGTGCTAAGGCTGACTTCTTTCTACCATGCCTTTATGATAACAGCCAAGCTGTCAGCAGACCCCTCAAGGGTGGAAGTAGATTTGGATAGGAAAATAAGCATTGGTCTCGTGCAAATGTTTAGCATTGATCTTTTTATTGTTAAGGGGAAAGGTCCCTGTTATTGCAAAGATGGTAATTGTGTTCCTGCAGCAAGTACATGGTATTTTGCATTAGTTTGCATGCAATCAGCCAGCATCAATACTAATGTGCTAGATAATTAACACCGATTTGAGGAAGAGGGGTTGTTTCAGGATTTGAGGGTTTTTTATGGATGCAGAAAGTAGAATATAGACAGATCTTTGCGGTACAGGACTGTCTCAGATTCATTTGTGCATTTTAAGGAGGGCCTAATCATTTTTAACTTATTTATCATCATTAATCTGTCAAAGGAAAAAAGGGCAAAATCTAGAGGGAAAACATATCTTACGTGGATTTCTATGCACATGGTCAGATGGCCTTCTATAGTTAGCAAGCTCCAGAAACACCCCACATTTCACCCTTGCCATCTTATTTCCTTCTACCCTGCAATCCTAGTCTCTAGACCACTGGACTTCCAGACACCATGACCAGTAGAACAGCTTACTGGAATGCCCACCCTGGGGCTGGCACTGTCATGATTGACCAGCGTGAATACAAAATCACATAGTTGAAAGGCCTCTATACCTGGCCAGAGCTATCCAAAATCTACATTCCACCCCAACCATCTTCTTGACCTTATGTGTATATTACCTTTATCTCCCTTCACCCTTTCCACCAGGAACCACAAGGAAACTGATAACTCCATTGCTACTAGAAAGAGTATATCAATGAATTCTCTTATGACCCTATTCACCATCTCTCTGATTTTCAAACCAAAACATCCCTCCCATTTCCCTATTAGAATGCAGGCTCCTCAAAGGCAGACGCTATCACATTTTTGTATTTGTGTCCTTGGAAAAGTAAATTGTCATTGGTGGTGCTGGGTAGTGGTTGGTGGTGGTGGTTTTCTTGTTCCCAGCTCCATGTGACCCCACAGACTTTGTCCATGGAGTTTTCTTGGCAAAGATACTGCAGTGGTTTGCTCTTTCCTTCTCCAGTATGTCCCTGTCTTACAGATGAGGGATTTAGACAAATAGGGTTTAAGTAATTTGCCCTGGGTCACACTGCTCATAATTGGATGAGCCCAGATTTGAAC